GAAAGAAAAAGAAAGAAAAAGAAAAAGAAAAAGAAAAGAGAAAGACAGAAAAAAAGAAAAGAAAAAGATCAGACCGCAAAAGAGAGAGAGAGAAAGAGAGAGAGGGAGAGAGAGGAGAGAGGGAGGGAGAGAGAGAGCGGGGAGAGGAGAGAGAGAGCGCGAGCGCGAGCGAGCGAGAGAAGAGAGGAGAAAGAGAGAGAGCAGAGAGCGAGAGGAGAGCGAGGTGTAGAGAAACCGAGGGGGAGAGAACCCGAGTGTGTGTATGCGTGTGCGTGTGTGAGCGCGAGCGAGCTTGCGAGGGAGAAGAGCGAGAGAGAGTGCGAGCGAGAAAGAATAAAAGGAAAGAAGATTTTCTCTATGTATATAAAGATGGCCACGTTAGCAAACGGACAGGCTGACAACGCGAGCCTCAGTACCAACGGGCTCGGCAGCAGCCCGGGCAGCGCCGGGCACATGAACGGATTAAGCCACAGCCCGGGGAACCCGTCGACCATTCCCATGAAGGACCACGATGCCATCAAGCTGTTCATTGGGCAGATCCCCCGCAACCTGGATGAGAAGGACCTCAAGCCCCTCTTCGAGGAGTTCGGCAAGATCTACGAGCTTACGGTTCTGAAGGACAGGTTCACAGGCATGCACAAAGGTGAGTGCACCTTTCCCTCCCAACTTTGCCGGGGAGAAGGAGCGGGCGGGCCGGCCAGCCGGCCGGCGACGGACGAGCGGGAGACGGCGCGAGAGGGAGCCTCGGGCGGACGCCGAGGAGGGAGGCGCTCGGGCAGCGCAGACCAGGACTGGGGTGCGTGGGGAGCTGTTCGCTGGGGCAAGGCTGGATTTTGGGCGAGGAGCTGATAGAAGCGGTGCGGTGGGGAGAGCAGCGGAAGCAGAATATGGAGAGAAAGAGAGGATCGAGGGGAAGCGGGGCTTGGATTTTTGGGTGCAGCGACTTGAAAGACTGGGACGGGGACAGCTGCACCGGCCGAGCCCGGGACGCTGAGCAGACTGGCGGGCGCTCAGCGGGCCAGGGACCGAGGGTGCTGTCCATCGCCGTGGTGCTGAAAATATTAAGAGATGGTCTCCTCCTTCTCCGCTCCGGGCCAGAGTAGCAGGAGCGCAGCCGTCTAAAAAGAAGAGAGGTGACAAATTCAGAGAGATATTTTTATTTCGCTATCAATTTAACAGTAAACTCTCCCTGTCGAGATATGTGCCTCAATAATCCGGTTGTGGTGTGAGTGGTGGGGGAGGGGGTGTTTGATGTTTGAAGGAAGGAGGGACAAAACCTAAGGCAAGAATTATCAAGGAACCAGCCATCCCCTGGGTGGAGTGGGGGGTCAGGGAAGCCTGAATGATCCCCTTCTCAGGAAAGCGGAGCTTTGGGGTAAAAATCTGTGTGTGCAAGATATGCATTTTGAAGGGTGTAGCCTAAATTATCCCAAACTCACCATGCAGAGAGCTTATAGTACATTATTTCTCTCCCTTGAAGCAATCATTGCTAGTGAGTGCTTGGGGGAGGGGGAGACAGAATAATCAAAGAATTAAAACCCAGCAACTTTTTAGGAAAGTGGTCATGAGAATTGTCTGCAGCCTGCCTGTTTTCTCCTTGTTTTATTATCTTTAAGGCAGATCCCCAAACGTGTTCAGTTGTAGAACGTGTGTGGGTGGCTGGTGGGTGACGAAATTAGCCCAGTGCTCCGCTCCCTAACAGTAATGTATAGGATGTGCAGTGGGGATTAATCCGGGCTGGAGCTGTGTGGGCAAGTTAAATGCTTTCTGAGAGAGATTGATCGTCAGGCAGGGAAGGAGCACCGAGCTAAGGAAGTTGTAAGGGATGTGTATGGACGTTCCGTTTTTAATAAACAGTAGTGTGGAGAGCCACTGAAGATGCTGTGTTAGAGCTGGTGGTTTTAAAGATGAAAACACACACACGCACACGCACACCCACCCACACACAGAGAGCAGTCTCATCCTTGGCCACAAATGGGCTATGAACAGAGCTGATCCTCCGGCACATTAGGTGCAGAGCGCAGAGCTGTCTGGCTCTCTAAGCAGCAGTGGTTTTCACTATCACAACCTCCCTCCCTCCTCCAGCCCTCCCTTCATCCGAATACTAAGCAGAGCTCCAAACTCTTCATAGTTGGAGTCCCAGAGAGCAGTTTTTATTGGCTTTAGCATCTTCCAGCTTGCCTGCTGAGGAGTAAATCTTAAAGTTAATGGCATGTTGAGTAGCACAAAAACACAGCAGAATGGAAATATACTGGGTTTGCTGGGGTGGGGTGAGGGTGGGGGCTGTAATGGAGAGACAAACCAACCTTTATCCAATATGGAGAAAATGTCTGTCTGATCAGAAGAGAGACTGGAAAGGTGAAATGGGGAGGCAGTCTTTGAAATAATATTTCTTTCCTTCCCCCCACCTCAAGTCAACCGTATCTTTATAGTTTTTCCCTTTCCAATCAAGCTCCCTAGAAGCTAATCAAGGTTTGTATCAAATCTTTGTCATTCTAATATGTCCCCAGATTTAAAAATAGTAATAATGAAAATTTAAAAAGCATAAATAGGGAAATCCTTTGCCCATCTTAATGATCAGTTCTTGTGATGATTTAAATTTTTAAAGTTAAAAAAAATTTAGAACCCACCAGAGGCAAAAGACAGTTGTGAAGAGCTGAGCTTCTTAAGAGATCCGGGTTTGGAGCACTTTATTTACTTCTTTATTTCGAAGGAAGATAAACTTTAACAATATTCCTTGGTTTCTTCTCACGATCCCTTGTTGGTATCATCACTATGTTCTTGATGTTATTTGGACTCCCTTGTACTATAGCAAAGAAGTAGAATTATCATCATTTGCATCAGGAAGCCAGAGAAGGTTATATTATAGCTTTATCATATGTATCATATATATACTATATACACATATCTGGCCAGGATTTCTAGGACAAGCAAAACTTCATTTTCTAAATAATTCTTCCCCTAAACTGGCTCAGTCAGTGGCAGGCAGGCCCGTTGGCTCCGGCATGCTTGGTGTCTCATTGTCGCAGCCCACCCTTCATAGCCTAAGCATATATATCTTTCCCTATGAAACTTCCTGCCTCTCTGTCCCTTGGATTTTTATAGGCAGGGTTGGACCACAATGTCTCTAACAGTGCCTGGAAGCTCCAGGAGAGCTGAATAAATGAAGCATTCTCTAAGGTCTGGTTTATTCAGTCCTAGAAGAGTTTGAACTCCTCCTTCGGAGATACAGCCTGATTTATTAGCTAATCCTGATAAAATAAGCCTCCGGCCACCTTAAAAAATTACTCGCTTGCCATTGGTGATTAATTACTGTTAAGTCAAAAAGCATGATGAGGCTTGAAGAATGAGGGTTGCATTTGGCTTCTAGATTTTCCCCAACTCTAAATTGACAACATGAGGCTAAGGATAGAAACATGCCTTTGTTAAGCCTGGTTTCGGGGCATATTTGTGGCTCTTTCTTTCCCCTTCTTGAATTTCTAACTTCTAATGAATCATATTGGTATAAAATTGAGAGACATGACAGGATACTGGCCTCCAGTGTGGATGGCATATGCATGTTATTGGCAAAGAAAAAGAAAGAAAGAAAAAAGGAGAGAAAAAGAAAGAAAGAAGAGAAAAATAAGTAAAAATTAAATTAAATGCATGAGATTTTAGGTGGGTATCCATTTGTTTGCCACCTGCCATTTCAGGTAACTAAAGAAGGAAGGAGTTCTAAGGGTTAATGGAATACCTGCCATGCGTAGAGTGAACCTTAAAAGGCAATTACTCCAGTCAAATTGGGAGTCTGTGGAGGAGGGAGTGGGTGGGTGTTGTGGAGCAAACCCAGCCGTATCAGAGAAAGGCTGTTGGGCTGGGGAGGCAGCAAATAGCAGTTGTGGACTGGGGTAATTACTGTAAAGGTAAATCCACCCCCTGGAGACTAGAAAACACTTGGGCAGGGGTGGAGAAGATCTGGGTGCTAGGCAGAGAGAGAAAGGAAGAAAAAAAGCCCAGAATTACAATTCAAAGAAATAACACCCAAAGAAGAAAACCTAGTTCAATGCAAACTCTCCCAGCTAACTCAGTGTCTTCTTTTCTGCCCCCATTAGAAGCACTTTGAGAAAGATTGTTTTTTCCAGGCTCCAAAGAGAAAGACATTGTACTATTGATTAAAGAGGAGACAGGCAAACTCCCCGGATAGCAGCACAAGTGAGCTGAGGACCAGTTTGGTCCCTTCCTATAGAATTTTTCTCCCTTGGGGAAGGGAAGAGGTCATCCACTAGTCTAATTCTTTCCTTATCTCACTTTACATTTATTTCTCTTTTCTTCTTTTTATTTCCTGGAGAACAAACAGCAGTGACTGAAAATACATACACACGCATTCCCATGCCTGCTAACACACACACACGCAGTCGGTGGATCACACATGAACAAGCCAGCAATCCATTCATAACTTTGGTCTTGTCTAGCAGGATAGAAGGCAGCAAAGACTGAGTTACTGGGAGACATAAAGACTAGTGCTCTCTGGATAGCCATATTATAATGCATTATCTTTGAAGTCATTTAAGTCCAATTTAAGTGGTATTTAGTATAATATTTATGAATTAATGTAATCTAAACATAAGGCTGTCCCCAAAGGTTTAAACAGCCTTTACTACTGATGTGTGCTTGTTCCCAGAGCCTGCAATGCATTTTAATCTAAACAGCCAAGTCCATATCACAGTCCCTCTTGTTAACCAGTCAGAACAAATCTGTGCCTGGGTAACCACTCTGCATTGAGATTTCCCCCTACTGCGTAGAGGAAAACCTAGTCTACTGGCAGCCCCAGGGTGCTCCCAACCCAGGATCCACAGCTTCAGGGACTTCAGCCCCTCATACTTTCACACTACATCCAGAGGGAGGGTGGGGACAGAGTAATAGAACCTTCTGTGGACTGAGCTCTGGAGAGTATTTCATTTAAAAATATACTCATCACCCGATACACAACCTCTCATTTCAGCGGTACCTGACAAGGAAGTACCTGAAGCCCCTTGATTTGGGGTGCAGCTGGGAGAAAGAGAAATAGCAAGTGTCATGATTGTTTTGGTGATTCTTGACCATCTTCATAAAACTGTGCCTTATATTTTCATTTAAGATGTAGCCATTTTCAGAACATCAAGTTTCCACCGCTTGACTTTAGCCGGGAGTGCTCCTTGTTTTTTTCCTTAGGTAGGTGAATTAAAGCCAGTGAGGCTCTATCTGATTTCTGTTTTCAAATGAGTCTAAGAGACAGTGAAGCTGAAGTATCAGCATGGGCATCAGCTCAATTCAGATGAACTTTTAAAAAAAATTTGCTTTGAAAAATAAAAATTCAGTCTGTCCCAGGAAAGACACTCGTAGAATGACTGGGCACACACCTATAGTTTTTAAAAGAAAGATTTGCCTTGTGAGAAAGAGGTATGGAAAATGAGATAAGAAAAACATTTAAAAAAATTCACTAAAGAAAATAAGCAATAGTAATCATTGCAAAACTAAAGTAAACCAAAGTAACAGCCCCCATAAAAAAATCTCAAATCCCAGATGTTTGTAAGTATTCTATTTAGGAGCAAAGAAAAACATTATTGGGAAATATTTGATTTATTGAAGAGACTGGTGGTTATTTGCTGCTTTACATAATTTTAT